GCGAGGCCATGGCTCTCAGCGCGGGGTCGCGAGTGGGAAGTTTAGGCACGTCCGGGCTCGGTTAAGGACTCGACATACTCGGTTAGGAATGGCTCGTACGAAATGGCTTGAAACTTCTCGGATTTGACTAGAAATTCGGCTCGTCTCTTCATCCTCAGAATAAACCTGAAATTTCATCACAAAACACGGAAAAGTACGCCAAAATATAAAATGAAACGAAAACCATAAAATCACACAAAATGCGACAAAATGGACCGGTCAACACCAAAACGAACCTAAAATCGACTCGATAACACACATGAACACATAAAAATAAGCACAAAAATGTAACAAACAGTAGCGACCCACTACAGACAATTTTTTTGAGCTCCTGAGTTTTTTCTTGTCTGATCCTTTGGGCCACCTGGACATAAAGGAATAATGCGAAGCATAGGGATATTATTTTTTCTTGTGCTCACATCATTTTACAGGTTGACAGACACATCTCTCTCCTCACCGCCCTTGGCAGACTCACGACGAGAGACTGGACAAGTTGCAAACTGCCTCATCGTTGGAAGCCACCACCTCCTTTACCTGTCCAGCACCCACGACCCAGGACCATTGTTTGGCTGAAACCCAAGCCTCCTTGGGTTACGCTAAACACTGACGGTGCTTTTGACAGATATACTGGAGCTGCTGGAGGAGGGGGCCTGATTAGGGATCATGGAGGGGCACTCATCTCTGCCTTTCAGGGACCACTACGGGCCTCGTCGAGTTATGATGCGGAGATTCAGGTGCTCCAGATATGTATTGAGATTGCCGCCTCGATCTCCTCCCATATCTGGATAAAGATAGATGTTGTAGCTGTCATCACACTTTTGACATCCAGCCATCAGGGCTCATGGCAGATCCACCATCCCCTTATGCGCATCAGAGACACACTTTGCTCGATCAATTACCAGATCTCATACATATTCCGAGAGGGGAACCGCCCCGCCAATTTTCTTGCTAGCACGGGGGTTTCTATACCTCAAAGACGTATCCTTCACCCAGAGGAATTTTCCCTCCGGCTTCGAACCCTCATTCGGATGGATCAGCTTCAGTATCCATCCTTCAGATTCGGACGACCGCCACCACCTGATCCTGACTAGCCTTGTCTTTTTGGACTTCATGTCGGGACACCTTGACCAGGACGACCTCTCATGAGGCCTGGACTTGACAGCCAGATCGGATATTTTTTTAGCTTTGTACATTTTGATTTTCTGCTTTGATGATGTTTTATGTACTATTCGACTTTGATGTTGACATTTTACTTTTTAGCCCTCTTTGGGCCATTATATCCCCAGGTCGGGGGTGTAGCCTCAACCCCCCATCCCACGCTGGGATGTTTATATAAAAAAAAAAAAAAGAATGGATCATAGCAGCGGGTCTCCGGACTCGAAAATAGCGACCATAAACCCGACCCCAATCTAGTTACGGGCGGGTACACGATATGGCACGCCAGGCAGTGCCCGACCTTGATCTTGTTACTTGTGACTTGGATTTTTGATTGACCTCTTTAGTTGGACCTCGTCCCTTGTCGACAGAGGTTATGGAGGCCAATGTGTTGTCCATCATTTTTTCCTTAAAAAAAAGAGACGACCAATTAAACAATATCGCAAAAGTTCATGTACGAATTAAACAAACTAAGCTCGAGCTTACCAAGCTCATTTTCAGGCAATAGAGGCTAAGGCCTCTTGAAGAAACCACAGTGGAATAGGAGTCTATCGTCAACAAGTATGGCCGACGAAGAGACATGACTTCTATTCTAAGAAGAGATCAGAAGGTTGTACATAGGGTTGCAAGAAGGATTAGGATGTTTGAAAAGTAGACCTCGATCTAAGGGGTCGAAGTAAAACAAAGAAGAGAAGAAAGTCAAACATAAAAAATCTTATTTTTCTTTTGGGGCCGTTGGAAGGAATGTCTGACGAAAAATTCTGGTGCTGGGAAGTCGTTGGTTGCACGCTGGGAGAGACTTAGGTCGCGAAGACTTCGGCACATGCATTGGAAATGATGTGGGTCGTGCAAAAAGCACGTGGGAGTGTTGTAGATCACGCGAGAACATTGTGGGTAACACTGGGGACGTCTGCTGGTCGCGCGGGGAACACCTGTGGGTCAGGAGGGCCTATCTATGGCTGAGTGCAGCCAGGCTGGGGTTGGGCATGGCTCAGGCGCGCTGATCCCGGCTGGTGCTGGATGATGTCTCTGGTCTCCGGTGTCATAAACCTCAATTTTGTGAAAAAAGACAACCCCGTGAGTTATAAAAACTTTGCGGGGTTGCGAATATATATTGGACGAGATACGAATAAAAGATCGAAAGATCTTCTATTGTGTTACCCAAACATCTTTCAAACGATCTTGGTGGAGCGATCGAACGAAAAGCTCTCAAATCACACATACTCTCAGAACTTGAAGTGCCGATGAGATACCCCTTAGGAGATAAGAAACCGATCGTGTATCTCTCTTTTTCTTGTGTTTGGAGGCTTGAGACTTGGTGTATTTATATGGCTATAGTAGAGACCCTACGATTGAACAATAACAGAACACTCACACAAGCCGACATACAGATTATATTGGCGTCATTGATGTTACTGGTTTGATTTGATGGTCAACTTTTAAAATGTGTTTGAGCAAAAATCAGTGGCGAGGATTCTGAGAGCTAAATTGTTGTTCCCGTCACAGTTCACGCGAAAACGAAACGCCGGTTGATGATGAGTTGTGTCCGACAATGGAAACCAAAATGAGACAATTCTCTCGAATATTGACACATGTTTTTCAAACTCTTGCTTTCTTTTCGAAATGGTTAAATAATATTGTTATATCCGTTTTATCTGTGAGTAACATTTATGCACATGTTTTTCATCAACCCGTTGTTTATCTCTCATCGCCATTATGTTTTCACTTGGATTTACATTAAGTTCTTTTCATTCTTTTTTTCCAAGTTAAAGTTATAAAAAAAACACTGTGAACTGCCGAACCGGCCCGAAACCGACGGGCCCATAAGAATAGTCGGGCTGGTCATGGGCCCAGCATTTGAGGCTCGCCGACACGGTGGCTCGGGCTGGGCCTTGAACCGGTCCGACTTTTGGCCAAGTCTAGGAGTACACTGAAAAGACAACATGTTTCCAACCGCCAGATGGAAGATAAATCGAAGGGTCACCATTGAAGCAGCATTAAATGGATACATTGCACGAGGAAAGTTCGAACTACGAGGCGGTTATGTCGACAAGACTTTTGGACTGACTGGTCTGACAAGAGGTGGAGATTTGAGGTTTAAAATTTCAATTCAAGACCTTAGATGGAGGTTGAAAACATTGTTGCAGAGTTGTAGGAAGTTCGAGCAGCATGGTGAAATGATGGAAGTAACTCACCAAGCACAAGAAAAAACATAAACATACTCTTAGCTCGAGTAGACCAACCAATCAGGCTGATATTAACATGACTAGAGTGAGGGGACCAGATGATATTAGATACTATACCTATTCGAATAGACTCGATAAACCAACCAATCAGGCTGAACAAAATCAATTAGTCGAATGTAGCTACAGGTAGGTCGAACGAAGGTAAAAGGAGCCACAGACCAAAGAGTCTTCAGGTCGATGAGGATGTCACAGGTCTAAAGAGTGGAGTATGTCACAGGTCCTCAGACGGCCTAGTTGAAAATCGACGTGAAAGCATGGCTGGTCTATTGATTGACCAGAAGAGTGGAGTATACGAGCTTAGAAAAAACAACACTCCACGTCGAGGTGAATCGGGTGTGTCACACGATCAGACCGTCTAATAAGATAGACTAATGGACAAGAATGCATATTATTAAGATAAGAACTACACGTGGGTAGGGCCAAGTGGCCGAACGAAATTGGGCAGTTCGGACAGTAAGGACGGCCAGTTTTGGGTAACAAGGTAACACACCCCTATATAAAGGGGTGAGGTTTGTCCATTGATATATTAGATTTTCTACATACTTACAGAGTTTTACATACACTGTTCATCGTATTCTACATACGTGAACTAACATGATCGTAGGAATGCTAACGCCGAGAATCCATTTCGACCCATTTTGCACGTCTACGAACAGGTTAGAAAGCAAATCACGATCGTCTTAGCTAGACATAGGCCTATTACATACCAGCGCTACATGTACCACATTACTATTCACCGTGCTATACTTTTTTTTTTTTTCAAATTTTACTTTTTAATTGACTTTTATTTTTAAATATTATTCTGATAGAACATATATCATTAAATTATTATTTGTTAAATAACTTTAAATTTTAATTTCTATACTTATATTTAATATTATTTTGTACTAATATATTTTATATAAAGTAAAATATAACATGAACGATGAAGACAGAAAGTTAGATTATGACATTTTCTACTCTAAAATAGAGTATATTCTGCATTAAAATAGGATGATCCAAATAAACACATTCGAACTTACATTCCTACAAATAATCAACTTAAAGAAAAAGACAATAAAACAAATTAAAATCTTATTTGTTTTCCCACTTTTCCAATTTAATATACCCGAACACATTATTTTGACCATTCGGTTGATCATATTTCAAAAACTGTTATTCGATCATTCGGTAAATCGATTACCCATTCTATGATTGATATGCCAATAATTAGTTTGTATGAAAAACATGTAGATTTAATTATCAAATTTATTTAGTTGCTGAATTAGTTTTACCATAAACCAATCATATAATACCACGTCAGAAGACAGCTATACATAAAACCATAATCACACGAGAAATAGGTAAAAAAATCCGCCAGTTTAACCTCTTCAAATCACACAAGGCTCTGCGTATCAAAACAATCCCTTTACTGAGAAAACATGCATCCAGGTTCACACCCTCAAAATTTAAATTATTTTAATTCTTAGGAATTGTGTAAATAGCAATAGATAATTCACCTCAAACAAAGTAGAAATTATTTTCATCAACATCTATTTTTGGCTAAGGGAGCAGCATTGCTTAAGCCCCACCAGAGCCATACTTCTTGCCGAAAACAATGACCTGGAGCTTATCGTAGCCTGCCAGCACACCAGCACCAGCAACGGCACGAAGGATGTTTGCACCCGCGCCCTTGAAAAGAGACTTGGCACCCTCGTTCTTTAGAATCTGGGCAAAAGCATCCAAGGAGCTCTTGTACTTGACGGCCTCACCAGATGTCATCATCATCCTTCTACGGACAGTGTCAATCGGGTACGAGGCGAGCCCGGCCCCATTGGTGATGAGCCACCCGAGGGCAAAGCTGGCGAAGAAACTATCCTGTAATCATTATGTGAATGGGCAACACTTTAGAACTATATTAACAAATAATATATAACAAACTTCAGAAGGGTATCGAGTTTTACTCTAAACTTTGGATGGGAACTGCCATTAACATTTTGTTAAAACTATAAAAAATATCCATATTTCAATACTTAATAGGAGCCGCAAGTTAAGCAAATTCATACCTACAAGAGGGATATGTATAATTTTCAAGATAATTCTTTTTTTTTTTTTTGGTAATCTGCTTGAATCCTTAAAGACACTTGGAATTATTCTCTTACAAAGACATTAAAAAGAATCGTGATTATGTTATAAGCCGATATAAACCAATCAACAGTGCACACCACTGCATCTTCAGACCCTTACATATACCAACTAATATTTCAATAGACCTTTCAAGCTAATGAACCACCTGAATTCAAAGTCGCTTAGGAAACATATAATTTCATAGGACAATCAAATAGACAATAAAGCAAGGGGACCAAAACTGACCTGCAACGATCCAGTCAAGAGTACTGGCTTCAAGGAGTCGTACATTCCAAAGTACAAGCCTCGATAGACAATGATACCGACACACGAGATGTTGAACCCACGGTACAGACCAGCAATACCATCAGATTTTAGGGTCTTTCTGTAGACATCAATCAGACCATTGAACTGCCTCTCACCTCCCTTCTTGGCAGCCTTGGCATCATTGGCGAGACGAGTACGGGCATAATCCAACGAGTAGACGAAGAGCAGTGACGAGGCACCAGCAGCACCACCAGACGCGAGGTTTCCGGCGAACCATTTCCAGTAGCCGTCGCGATCTTTCTTGAAGTTGAAGAGCCTCTTAAAGTAATCCTTGAATGCAAAGTTCAGAGCCTGTGGTACACACAACACTTATCAAACAAGAAAGGGAAATATAATTGTTCTTCTCAGTTAAATACTAGAAATTACCCAAACTCATTCAACTTTACTAACAATTCAACTCAACCTTGAAAAAATGCATTTAACTATCCACTTCCAATTTTATTACGTTTATCAGATTCAGCTTCTGGTAATTTTTGTCAGTTCAAGTATTCTGCCAAATAAAAGCTTACATTGTTTCATAAAACAATAGCTTTCCTCTATGCAATTAACTAATCTTGAATTTCAATCTTCTTCCAAGACAGGCAATTTCTTAGGAAAACATTGGAACCTATAATATCTTATTTTGGATATTTAAATGTTTAATCTATATATAATAAAATTATGGATTTATAATATAAACCAGGAGAATAGGCAAACCTGAGTGGGGAAATAACGGATGACATTAGCAGTGTTGCCTCTCCACAATGATCCAAATCCTTCTTCCTGAATCGTTCTCTTGAAACAATCACCAATCCCCTTGTATGGTTCAGAAAGCCTGCCAGCCTTGATCATCTCATCCTGGTTCTGGATCAAAAGCTTCACACGCTCGATAGGGGCAGCTGCTGTTTTCGAAACGGCAGCTGAGACTCCCCCCATGAGGAAGTCAATGGCAAAGCTGGCAAACCCTTTCTCTTGGGGTGCCTGCACAAAAACCGGGGAGGCATTCGCACAGATCAATGATAGGTCCTGAGTGGCCGAGCAAGACATGGGCTGTTGCAAGGCAGCATTCATATAGTTTCCATACGCAAACCGCCTCTGGTACACAGACGGCTGTTGGAAGCCACCATAACTAGGCTGGACCCTGTTTGAGAGGCTGGAGCTCAGATGCAACTGATTAGCTACTTTCTGGACAATTGTCGGATGCTGGTACTGGTCTGCCATTGAAGAACCGAATAACACTCCTGAAGGGTACAAAATGAAAAAGGTGGTTAGACCCAATCAGAAAGAGAAGATAAAAAATAAACATAAATAATCTTTTAGTAATTGAAAATGCATTTGAGCGGATAACCGAATTCGGGAGAATTCTCAAGTTGTACAAAATGTGTAAATCACAAGAAAAGATAGAACACAAAGCAGTTGAAGAGAAAAGGCATGTGTAACATAAGAACCCATGAAAGTAGAATTTCGGAACGCAACATTCATTATAATTACAACGACTCGCACGAACAAGATATCTGCTGGAGAACTAATAGTACTTGTACAAAGACACAAAGGAATTCATTTTCATAATGCAGGCTCAATATTGATGAAGAATACAGCAAACTGAAAATTGTATTTTGGCCAAAGCAAAAATATATTAGCAGAACAAAATGCAGTAACTTGATCCTGTAATTGGACGAAATTTAATGAATATCAACTGCAACTACTGTTCCTAAAGAAAGTATTGTTCGGTAAAGCAGAAATGTGAGATCATTAATTCTTCAAAATATTGTTACAGGCAGTGTAATCAACTACTAATGTAAGCGTATAAGTCGTGCAAATACAAAAACAGGCGAACGTATATTGGCTGCCACAAGTCTTTATGTTAACCTTTCATAGAGGTCCCACTTCAGAAAATTATTCACTTGAAATTGTGACAAAAATCACAAAAGCACAAAACTGAAGGCATCATTAAATCTACAAGCACCTTAGACACTACATCCCCATAGCAAAAAATACCATTGAGGAAATCATGTCAAAACAAAACACCATCCAACTGAATTTTGATAAGTCGTAAAGGAATGGAGGCCACCGATCACAGAAAAACATATAAGAGGAGCCAGAAGCATATATCATGATAAGCAGATGTTCGAGTACTTCGATTCCAACAATATTTGCAAAATACAAAACATCAACAATGATAGCTACCGCACAACATACAATCATTTTCTACTGACTAGTACATCATCTCAACAACAAGCAAATATATATAATTCACGAGATCTACAACCCCACCCCCCCAGCAACTGAAATACGTCCAGATCTACAGGAACACAGATCTAGAAGGTCATAAACCACAACGAACCTGTTCTTCAAGTGCAGAAAATTCAAGTTTAAGTTTCAGATTCCCAATTAAATTGCCAACAGATCTAACAAAATGGAAACCGGCAGCGACAAGAAGAAGAAAATATCACTTATGAACAGATAGAGAAAGCAGAAAAGCCATTCAAAACCGAAATTTTGCTAGATCCTCAGCAGATGAAAACACAATTGCTACAAAGAAACAAAACATAAAGCCAAAGAACTGCAATCTCATATGGATATTTGAAGATTATACCTGCTCTTAGAATCGCCTTGGAGTTCGGAAATGGGGATGAGAGGCGACTGACAGTGAATGTGGGAGCAGATGTGCGAGAGGGCCAATGGTGGAGGCTGCTGCGTGACTTATATGCTGGTTGACCTTTTTTTCTTTTTTTCTTTTTTTACTTTTTTACTTTTTTCTTCCACAATGGGTTTTGGCAGGTCACGCCAAAGAGAAAATAATTATTTTCACCACGTTCATCAAACTCTGTTCAAACCCTTCTCTTGAGGATTGTAATTTGCTTGGTATCCCTATCTCATGATCACTTTCGGTGATATGTTTGGTAAACCAAATAAGTTAGTTTATTGCTTATTTGATTAGCTTATAAGCTTCTTGTATTTAAATAAGCCCTGTTTGGTAGCACGAGATTATTTAAAAAGCTCGAACTTATTTGATAAGTTTATTTAGGTAGCTTTTCAAATAAGCTAGTTGAATTTTTTATTCCAGCTAGTTTATCAGCTAATTTTACCAAACACTTTTATCATATAAGCTAGCTTTTCAGCTATAACTCATAAGCTATAAGCTATAAACTCAAAAATTACATATAAACTATAAGCTAGCTTATCAGCTATCAGCTAGCTTATCAGCTAGTTTTACCAAACATAACCATTGTTTTTTTAGAATTGTTAGCCTATTGTTCAAACTCATGTTTGGGCTACCATTATGAATTTCTTTGCTTGTGGTTAGCAGTGTCAAACGAGCCGGTCCAGTCCGGCCATCCGGCCTGCTTCGGCCCGCGCTGGCCCGCGGTTCAAACGGGGCGGGCCAAAATGGCACGCATTTCTACAAGCTGAGAAATCCATGGCTCGTGGCCCACCCTCATTAGCCCGCGGGCCAAATCAGCCCGCCCGCGGGTTTTTTGGTGTTATACACTCTTATATACTTTTTAGTTTGTTTAACCTTGTATTTGCTAGTATATTAATAAACTAGTAAGATCATGTGTAATGATGTTAAATATTTGTCATCCAGTTTTTATTTTTATTTTTATACAAATAGTTATAGGGTATTCAAGCGGAGGAGAGACTTAATTCATATAAAATATTATTTGATTCATTAATATTTTATTATGTAAAAAAGTGTTTTGAAACTTGAACGAACAAGTTAGAAGTTAGAAGTAAACTAAGAAATACTAAATTCAAATAATATAAAATTAACAAATAAATAAATAATAAAAAAACGGGTTGGACCACGGGCTAGCTCGCCCCAGCCCGCTTTAGACCGCGGGCCGAACGGGGCGGGCTAAATAGGCCCGATTGAATGGGCTGGCAAAGCAAAGGCCCAAGCCCATCCATTTAGGCGGACGGACAGGCCAGCCCGCGAGCCATGACCCGTTTTGACGGTGCTATCTGTGGTAAAATGCACAAAGGGATTAACCATATTGTTCTCTTCCTCATCCTAAAAAATAATAATCTTGTTTTGGTTTATAATTATAGAACACTATAAATTTTGTACAGTTGTGTATAAAATCATTTTAAAAATCATTGCAAACAGATTGAAAGTGGTTTTAAGCCCTTGCATTAATGCCTCTCAAGCTGCTTTTGTACCTAGAGGCGAATTCTTGATAATGTGGTGTTGGCGAACGAGCGTTTTACATTTCCTAAACGGCAAAAGAAAAGAGTCTAAACATCTCATAGTTGTTAAATTAGATATGGAAAAAGCATATGATAAAACAGAATGGGCTTTTTTGCTTAGTGTGTGTAGTAAAATGGGGTTTGCAGAGTCCTTTATTTCTTGGATTTACTCTTGTCTAAGCACAACATCTTTCTCTTTCAACAACAATGGTCAATTTCTAGGGTTTGCTAGACCTTATAGAGGTAATAGGTAAGGTGATCCTATTTCTCCTTATTTGTTCATCATCTTGTCAGAAGCTTTATCTAATTTGATTTCTCAAGCTTGCATTTTGTACTCTTTTTCTGGGTCAAGATAAGTACAATCTCTCCATCAATTTCTCACATTATTTGTTGATGACACAATTCTCTTTTGTACTTGTAAGAAACGGGAGGAAAACGGGTGCTATCCCACGCACGTGAAGCGCACAATAAGCAGGGAAAGCCAAGATGAAGCCCAAGTGAGGTTCTATCTCAAAACCAATTGGTGGAAAGAGGAATAGCCCATTAGACTCATAAATTAGGTCTATTTTCCCTATATAAACGATGTGGGACAACTCACAAATGAATATTCTAATACACTCCCTCAATTGTGAGTCCTTAATAGAAAGCGTCAAACCCAACTAGAAACAGGCTCCCACAAACGGGTACATAGGGGGTACGTCATCGCACGGTCCCCAATAGAACTAACTCTGATATCATGTAAGAAATGAGGGGAAAACGTGTGCGGTTCCACGCACGTGAAGCGCACCATGAGCAGGGAAAGCCTAAATGAAGCCCAAGTGAGGTTTCATCCTAAACCAATTGGTGGAAGGAGGAGTAGCCCATTAGACTTATAAATTATGTCTATTTTCCTTATGTAAACGATGTGGGACCACTCATAAGTGAATATTCTAATAGTACTGCAGATGAATACCATGCTTTGTTAATCAATTTCATTCTTGATGCTTTTGGGGCTTCTTCTGGACAAAGTGTTAATATGTCTAAGTCCTATATTCTCTTTTCTAAAAACACTCCTATCAGAACCAAAGAGAGAGTATGTAATACCTTAAATGGTATTCAGTGTGTTGTTTCATCCAAATATCTGGGGCTTCCTCTAGGGATAGGCAGATCTAAGAGGAGTACTTTCAAATTTGTGGCTGAGTGTGTTCGAAAAAAATATTAAGTTGGAAAAATAAATTTTTGAGTGAGGGTGAGAGAGAGGTGTTAATAAAATCTATGCTTGAAGCTCTCCCAACTTATGTCATGTCTTGTTTTAAACTTCTAGTAAGAATTTGCAAGGATATTTGTAAGGTTATTGCTAATTTTTGGAGGGGTAAGAATGAGGTGGGGTGTAATAAGATTCATTGGGCTTGTTGGGATACGTTAGCCAGACCTAAATCTAGCGGTGGGATGGGTTTTAGAAATTTGAATGTGTTTAATGATGCCCTTCTTGTTAATCAGTTGTGGAGAATGGTTACACAACCAAATCTGCTCATCAGTAGGGTGTTAAAGGTAGGTATTTTTTTAGTGGTAATTTTGATGTGAAGCCTGAGAATGGGGATTCTTGGCTTTGATAAAGTTGGGTGGGGGTTTTAAAGTTGTTGAAGTTGGGTACTAGATTTCAGGTGGGTGATGGTAAGAATATTTGTATTTGGAATCATCCATGATTGCCTAGAAATTCTAACTTTAAACGTGTTTGACGTTTTCCTGGGGATAGAGATAGGTTTGTGTGGTTGAGTGACCGTGTATATGAAGGGGGAGGGGTGTGGAATGGAAATCTTATTAGGAAAACTTTCATCCCTGAGGAAGCAAAGCTGATTTTACAAATCCCTCTTTCTCTGATGGGTAAGAAAGACAAGCTCATTTAGCATTTTGGGAAGAATGTTTATTTCAATGTGAAATCTGCTCATGATACTTTCATGGAGAAGGCTTGTACTAGAAGGGAAGTTGCTAGTTCTAGTTCTACTCTGAACAGTAGGGCTGTTACTTGAAAACTTCCTGATAAGAAAAAGATTAAACATTTTTTATGGAGATGCTGACATAAATTCTTGAGCATTAATGACCAACTAAGTAAAAAAAAATCTCTGTTGACTGTATTTGTTCTTTGTATGGGGAAGGAGTTGAGGATTTAAGCCATATTCTGTTTAATTGCTCTAAAGCTAAACTTGTTTGGAAGCTGAGTGGAATAGCTTTGGTTCACGCATGGTGCGCTGAAATTTGTGGTACTTTTGGTTCACACAACCTCAAAGATAGAAAAAGCCATTCATCCTACATTATTTGGTGGCTCTGGAAATGATAAACTCTGGGTTGTTTAGAAAGGAAAGGATGAGTGAGTTTCAGCTAGTGAAGTGTGCAAAATCAAAGTGGTTAGAGTTTGTAGAGGTTACAACTAGGATGGTGGGTACAGATAGTGTATCGCACCAACTTCCTTTGAATTATGAGGAGTATTTTTCCTGAGGGTAGGGAAATGGATCCTCACTGTCAGTGCTTTAAGCTCCTCGAATAATCAATTGCTACTTGCTTGTTCTACTGAGAAGGAAGGAGAGACTGCTCAGCTGTTCAAGGAAAGAATCTGGTATGATGGCTGAGAGGAAGGTAAATGGTTACAAGTTATGATGGCTGGCTTGAGTGTTGCTGCATGCTAAAAAAAAAACCTCTGGTGCTGAAATTAACTGAGAAGAAGGACTTTGATACTTATTGTAACTCTCTAGCTTATGATGTATTTGAGTTGGTACCTGCCTTTTCTTCTTTTGAGTTTGTTTATTTTGATTAGGTTGAACTTTGGGTGC